AACGAGGAAATGGTTATAGAGTCCATGACAACGAAAGGACTAGCAGCATGTAGAATTAGCTTGTCTTTGTCTGTCAGATCTCTTCATAGCCTTTGGTCAAATCACACCTTTTTAACAAGTCCAGATCCTCTGTCATGGTTTCCTGTCATGCTTCCTGCAGTGCTTCTAAAACGACGTCGTTTTGGACCCTTTTTTTTTTTTTTTCTCTCTAGCTCTCAAACCAGAGAGACAAACCACCAAACCCATGCCCATTAAACTGGGTGTCAAAAGCTTGAATTCCAACTCTCATGCCCATGCCCATTACCATTAAATTGGGTGTCAAAAGAGATCCATACTTGGTGGATATTTCATTGATTTAGCATTTTGTAGAACACTTAGAGGTGGTGATTTTGAATCCATCTTCCAAGTAGACACAGGAGTGCTCGACCCACCTCTTTTCCTAACCAAAATCACTTGTTTCAAACGATAATTACGAACCAGTGAGGAAGATGATGAAGATGAACAGCCTCTTTATGTAACCAAAAAAAAAAAAAGAACCGCCTATTTTCCCGATCTTACATTCCCTTCATTCTACTCTTTCATTTTCATTCAATTTTCATTCAATTTTTGCCTCAGCATTCTCTATCACACATGAATTAACCATGATGTTCTTGACAAAAACAATCTTCAGAAGTGAATTTCAAAATCTGGGTATTGCTGAAATTATGGAAACAATGATGGGTTTTGGGTTTAATTACACAATGGAGATAGAGAAAAGAGGAGCAGATTGAATATCCATTGCAATCGAAAACTCTCATGCCCATTACCATTAACAGAAGGATCACTCACTCTTCAAACCACCAAACCCATTATAATTTTTATAAGAAACCCTAGACCTATCATTTAAATTCTCAGATCAACACAGTTTTTATGTCTAAAAACATGTCCATTCATTACAAAAAAAAAATCTAGAGCCTAGAGGGCTTATCGAGTGATTCGAGCTTGTCAAACGCATTGACCATGCACCGAACGTCGTCATCCGAACTGATTAACACCAGAGGGGCTTCATCGTCGTCGATTGGGAGTTGGTTAAGATCCGAAATCTTCGATCGGGGCCTTGAAAAGCCAATGTAAACGATTGGGGTGGTTGGGTCGCCGACGACAAGAGAGAAATGGAGTCAGAGGAACTGAATGTGGCCTCGCCGCCACAGTCGTCGTTGCCCATCCCTCTTCCCTCTTCGTCTCTGGTTTTCTGTTTTAGATGGTCTCTCTCTAGTTTTGAGAGCTGGAAAAAAAAAAAAAAACAAAACAAAAAGTCCAAAACGACGTTGTTTTGGAAGCACTGCAGGAACCATGGCGGGGAACCATGGCAGAGGATCTGGACTCCTTTTTAACAGCTCTACAATTCAACAATCGAGGGTGTGTTGGGTTTGGTTTTAGAAAATAATTTTTTAAAAAAATCTTAGCAAAAGAGTTTAATTTTTTTTTTGTTTATTTAATTGTATATTTTGAAAATAATTTTGGAGTATGGAAATTTAGGAAGATTTGATATTTTTTTGCAGTTGAGTAGATTTGTGCGAGAGAAAAAGTGATTGAGAATGAGAAAAGAGTGAGAAAAATTGATTGATTGATGTATAGGAGAGAGTGATTTTGGAAAAAAAAAATTTCAAAAAATTTCCAACCAAATAAAATTTTGGAATTTATTTTCAAAAATTATGTTTTGAGAATTAAACCAAACAAGGCCCAAATCTCTCTCTCTTTGGGTTTGTTTGGAAATTTAACTATTTTAATAGATTATTTTAATTTTTAGCTATTTTAATAGGTTAATTTTTTTGTGTTTGGAAAAAATGTTAATTTTTTTATGATTACATGTAATGTTGGTGAGAGAAAAAATAAAATAATTATAAATTTAATGTAATATTTTATTTTATTAACTATTTTAATTTATTTTATATTTTTATAAATTTTAGCCAAAAAATAGCCTAACCCCACTTGCCAAACAAGGCTTTTATATGCTTCTAGCTTTTATATGCTTCTAGTTGTTGTTTGAGATGTGCTATATAAGGGCTAGTTTGGTATACCTCAAATAATTTAAATAGTCAAAAAATTACTAAGAAAGTTAAAAAGTTATCACTATTCACTAAAAATAAAAGATAAAAAAATTATTTTTACACAAAAATTATTACAACTCAGTCTGACGTACCACAGACTTTTGTTGATTTTTTAAGAAAAATTGCACAGGCGAGGTGCACAAACAATACAGTGTTGTTCGGCCCGTGGGGGCCCATTACGGGTCCCGTTTTGATAGTTTGAACCGTTCAATGTGTAGAACTCGTCGAGTTCTATATGTTTGTAAAAATCAGGTTGATCGGATATCTCTAACTATATGATTAAATCAGTTTTGTATAAAAAAAATGGATGGTGTTATAGTTAACTATTGAAAAAAAACTAATTCGATCAGATAGCTATCGATATCCAATTAACGTGATTTTTTACAAGTATATAGTACTCGACGAGTTCTACACATTGAACGGTTCTGATTAGCAAAATAGGATCCGTGGTGGGCCTCCATGGGCCGAACAACACCTCCAATGCAATGCCCGAAAAGGGGGCAACAATTTCTTATATCAAATCACTCTGCCCAGACTGTACGGGTCGTACTGCCTACTCTCCTAACTTCTCCTACACACTAATTTATACAATTTTTAATACACATTTTTTCGTAAAAAGTTAAAAAGTTAACCCAAACAACCATATTTTTTTCCTCAATTTTTTAGTCTAAAAAGTCAAAAAATGTACTTATATAGGACATCCCAAACAACCCCTAAGTGTACTTTTTGACTTTTTAGCTAAAAAAGTAGAGAAAAAAAGATATATGTTTGGGATAATTTTTTAGTTTTTTTACAAAAAGATTTGTAATAAAATATTGTAATTAAAGTAAAATGATCATTGTACTCTTTTGACTTTTTGGCTTACTTTTGAGTTGTTGAATTCAAAGGGTAAAATAATAATTTTGCCCTCTAGGCAAGGGCAAAATAATTTTGTCCTCTAAGAGCATCCCCAACAATACCCTTATATAAGCTTTTTAGCTAAAATAAGGAGTTTTGTTGTCAAAAATCACTCCCATCAAGTCCCTTATCCAACCCCTCAAATAAAAATATTGCTACAGTGACTCCCTATTTACAAAGTCACTATAGCTCCCTCATATTGATAAATTCTTATTTTATTACTGCAGAAGTCGCGAAGGTTGTCTTCCCGGATGTCCCTCTCGGACATCTCCGGATGTCTCGTGAGAGTCTTGGAGCTAAAGAAGAAAAATATCTAAAATTAGCTTGACCGGTCTACCACCCAGTCATCCGCCCCTATTTCCTTTCTTTGTTGCTTCCTGCATGTTGTGCTGTTGCATTTGTTTTCATTATTTTATTATTAAAAAAATATTTAAATTTAAAAGTAATTAAAAATATTATTTTAATAGAATAGAAAAAGAATAATGAATTTGATAAGAAAAGTAAATGAAAAAGTAATTCCTAGAATAAAGAATGAATTTTTTAATAATATTTTAAAGTAAAATTTAGGTTAACTGGTGGGGATGCTCTAAGTTTCCCTAACAAGCTTTTCCCAGATAATGTAAATTTTTTACTCCATCTGTTCCAAAATATTAGTCCCTTATTTCATTTTTCATTGTCCCAAAGTATTAGTCCATTTTCAAAAATTAAGTACGAAAATAATATAAATTTTCTATTTTGCCATTCTTTTAAATTAATTAACAATATAAAAAGTACAATTATGGTATTGATATTCTCAAAAAATATACTATTAAAGGGTAATTTTGAAAAATTAATTTTTTTAAAATGCAATAATTATACTACTAAAAAAATAAAATTTCCCAAAAAGAATCATTATTTTGGAACAGAAAAAATCACTTTTTTAATGACATTTTAATTTTTAGGGTGAATTACACTAACAATCCCTATAGTTTGGGACTCGTGTCCCTTTGGTCCCTGACTTTTCAATTGTGACACATTTGACCCTGAATTTTGAATCTTGTTCCAAATAAGGACAATTGAAAATACCATTGTTTAATTTCAATAGCAAAATCCTCAATTTAATAAAATATAAACTAATTTGACAAAAATAAATGTCAAAAAAATATTTTTTATTATTAAAAGTTATTTTTATCCACCAATGATAAAATTATGTAAAATTGATAAACATTAATAAAAATTACATGATTAATTTTTAAAAATTAATTTTACATGATCATCATCCAAACACATAATAAAGATTAATTTGGTAAAAAAAAAATGCCTAAAAGATTTTTCAATTTACATAATTTTATTTTTAGTAGGTAGAAATAATTTTTAAAAATTCAAAAATATTTGTTTGACATTTATTTTTGTTAAATTAGTTTATATTTTATCAAATTAACGATTTTACTCTTGAAAAATCAAATGATATCTTCAATTGTCTTTATTTGAAACAAGATTCAAAATTCAGGGTCAAATGTGTTACAATTGAAAAGTTAAGAACCAAAATGACACAAGTCCCAAACTATGAAAACTATTAGTGTAATTTACCCTAACTTTTATAGTTATGCCAAACCAACCCCTAGTTTGCTTGTTCCAGTGAAGTACATGTATGTGGTTCCAGAATTTGCTTTTAGTAGCCTAAAAAAGAAAGAAAAGAAAAACAACAGAGCGAGCACTGATTGGAACTGTAAAAGGGATCCTCAAAATAGGAAAAATCCATGTGTGTTTGATTTGAATCATTTTTTTTCAAAAGGGATCCTCCCTAATTAATCATTTTTTTTGTCATTTTTCATTTTTCAATCGTTTTTCTTTCATATATATTTATTCAAATTCTAACAAAATATCAAATCATCTCAAACTCCACATTTGGTTTAACTCTCAAACTCCTATATATCAGACCTCACTTCCCTTCCTTCCCTCTCGAAACCCTAACTCTCATTGCTTTCTCTCTCTCTCTACGTTTGCACACATACAACTCCATTGAAAGCAGCCATGTACAAATCGAAGCTTCAAGTGCTGTGTCAACAGAACTCATGGGATTTACCAAATTACTCCACCACCAAAGACGGACCCGATCACAACCCTCTTTTCAAGGCCGTAGTCATCGTCAATGGCGTCCATTTCGTGACCAATGATCAGTACCGAACTGCCAAATCTGCTCAGAACAAAGTGGCTAAATTCGCTTTCCATCAGTTATCTGCTCCTGCTCCTCCTCCGCCTCTGCCCCAGTATCAGTTATCTGCTCCTCCTCCGCTTCTTCCTCCTCCTCCTCCGCCCCTGCTCCAGTATCAGTTATCTGCTCCTCCTCCGCCTCTGCCCCAGTATCAGTTATCTGCTCCTCCTACTCAGCCTCTGCCCCAGTATAAGTTATATGGTCCTCCTCCTCCGCCTCTGCCCCAGTATCAGTTATTTGCTCCTCCTCCTCCTCCGCCTCTCCCCAGTTTTTTACCCTTAATCGCTCTCTCATTGCAGAGGCTCAACTTCCCCCTTCGGCTTCTTCTGGTATAGCAAACAATCCCAATATCTCTCTTTTTTCTATGCTTATATATATACATATATATATATGTATGCATGCATGTTTAATGTAATTGTTTTGATGTGGGGTACATGGAAAAATAAACTAGAAACAATAGAAATTTTGCTAAAAGCGAACCCTTTTTTAAATCTAAATTTTTTAAATAAAATATTTTTGGGTTTTGAGTAAAAATGTGAATGTTGGGAGTAAGGGGAAGGAATTGGTTTATTTATCCTTGATTTGGTGACAAATTGCCTCTTGCTTGATTTTATGCAGAAATGGTTGCACATTTTTTGATATTTTTTCGTTGAGCTTGATTTGATGCAGAAATGGTTTTTTTCGTCGAATTTGAATTTGATGAAGGATTGGACTCTTATATATAAATATTGATGTATATTGCAACTTGTCATTTTTTTTCTTTGCCCTTTTTAAATTCTGGGTTGCTGGTGAAACTGTTATCTCTAGAAATAAATATTTCTCGGAAGTAAAAATAAAAAATAAAAAAGAAAGACAAGTGACTGAAAAGAAAATGCACTGTTTGTTTCAATGTCTAAAATATTTTTGAGAAGGATACTATATATAGTTATGAAACTGTCATGTATCTTGACTTATATATATAGTCGGTTTAGGTGTAAGGTTACAATTGATGAGAAAATCTATGAGAGTCCTGAATTTTTCCTCTAAACATGCCAGTTGCGAAAGCTGCTTGGGAGTTGGTGTCGCTCAATGAAGTTGAGGAGGCTAGTATTTTAAACGATCTCTTGTGAATTTTTAGTATTTCATCATACCTGTGTCACTAATTTTTTTTGTTCTGTTGTGTATATTTGGTTTGTTTAACAAAATGTTAGGATGATTCTACTGTGTACAAGAATCTCTTGCAAGAACTGTCTCAAAAAAAAGGTTTGCTCTTTCCAAAGTACGAAAGAACTGCTTCTACTCCATCCCACATGCCGACTTTTATCTTGATTGTGAAAATAGTAGGAGTGTCTTTTCAAGGACAAGCAGCCAAGAGTAAGAAGGCTGCAGATATGAATGCTGCAAAAATTGCTTACAATTGCCTTCAACAGTGCAATTCGGTTAATCCTCACGCACTAAACATGTAATTTCCAATGGTTGCACTGTGTTGTCCTTCAGTGATCCTTCAGTGATGAAAGCTAGTAATTTGGATTTTTTTTTCTATTTTTTTTTTATTGAAAGTTCTAATCAAATTTTATCTATGTTTTTCTATTTGATTAGTGACATAATCTGCTGTACTTCTTTCCTGATATAATCTACTGTTGATTTTGTTAAAAAATTACCTAATGCATCATAGAAAGCTTTCCATTGTGCACCTCTTCTCTGAATATTTTCTTTTTTATGGATACTTACCAGCATCATTGCTAGCTTGTTTTCATATTTAATGTCAAGTTTTTTTATTTTTTTAATTTGACTTTGTGTGCATTTTTTTTTTTTTTTTTTGTAACCATTACCCATTGGAAGGCTTGTTGAAAAGGAAATTAAAGTGTAAAAAATTAAAGTTTATTAAATTCTTGCATGTATTTTTTTTAAGGTTACGTTACTTTGATCTGATTTTTGTTAAGCCCATTTCCTATTCAAAGCATGGATAATGTATACAAATATATATAGTAAGTTAAAATGTTAGAGCAAATTTTTATTTTTTATTTTTTACTAATAATAAATCTTTCTGATGAAAAGTTAGCTGGCCTAAATGGGGCTATACTTCAAAATAATTCAAATGATGGGATGCTTCTTAGAGCGAATTATTGTTTAGTGTAAGAAACAAATAATAAGGCTATGTTTGGTAGAGCTTTGGAACGGTAGTTTTAGATTTTGATTTACACATCGTGTTTGTTTATGGTTTTTGAAAAATAATTTCACTCACTTTTGAAAATTCTGTACAAGGCGAAAAAATTTGGGCTAACCAGTCATCCCACCGGATGTCCCATCGTCGTCCGGCCGGTTGACTAGAACAGTGTATTTTTTTTTTTTGTTGCAATAGACACATGCTAATTTTTATATATTCAATAAAAAATATTTTTTGAATTTTTTAAATTTTTTATGAGTTTTGAATAGAATTTTGAGTTGTGTATTTGATTATAAATTATAAATTTTTGTATCAAATATCATATGCCACATCAAATTTTTTTTACTCAATTCAAAATTCTTTTTAAAACTCATATATCAAATAATTTTTTTACATTCAAATCATAATTTTAAAATTCACAAACTTAAAATATAACTCTATTCTCAAATTATATTTAAAAAATTCTAACAAACGCAACCTAAATTTTTCTGATGAAAGTTAGTTAGCCTAACTTTAAGGGGATATACTTTAAAATAATTCAAATGATGGGATGCTTCTAGAGAAAAGTGTGAGGGTGTTTAGTATGGAGTTCAAATCATGCCTTTATATTTATATTTTAATATGATATTTGGTTATAATTTTTTAAAATTAATTTCACACTATTTTTAAAAATTCATTTTAAGTGAGATTTGAATTTTGAAATTTGAAATTAGTTTCACAACATTGTTTTTTTTTTTTTTTGAATAATTTAATTTTATATTATATGATTCAATGTAAGTTTGAGGGTGTTTAGTGTGGAGTTCAAATCATGCCTTTATACTTATATTTTAATATGATATTTGGTTATAATTTTTTAAAATTAATTTCACACTATTTTTAAAAATTTATTTTAAGCGAGATTTGAATTTTGAAATTTGAAATTAATTTCACAACATTGTTTTTTTTTTTGAATAATTTAATTTTATATTATATGATTCAATGTAACACACCTAAAGTTGAATGTTAAGAATATAAAAGACAAAGTTGAAGAAGTTAAGAATGGACGGGAAGGAATCTATATACAGGAGTGTTTGATAAATGTTATTTTTTGATTTTTTGGGTTAAAATACATAAATAAATAAATAAATAAATAAATAAAATAAGTTAAAATAATCAATAAGATAAAATATCACATCAAATTCATAATAATTTTATTTTTTCTCTCACAAATATCACATTTAATTACAAAAAAATCTATCTTCCCAAACATAAAAATTTTAGCCTACTAAAATAACCTACTAAAACAACAACTTTCCAAACACCCACATAATATATAAGGAAAAAGGGGTTTTTAAGTCACAAGCAGAGTTCTTATATTCTGATTTTAATTTTTTAATTTTTTGATTTTAAAAAACTTTAGCATTTATTAATTTCTCTCAACTCACAAACTTTTTTGACTTCTTCCATACCTATTGTTATATTATTTTCAACTTCTCCCATACACTATGGCTAGAGATGGGATTTGATAAATTATTCTTATGAAAAATCTTCAAAAAATAATTTGTATATTAAAAAAATGTCTAAAATAAATATAAATTCTTATTAAAAAATAACATGTTACAATTGCAAACAAAAATACACTATAAAAGATAATTTGTATATTAAAAAAATATCTAAAATAAATATAAATTCTTATTAAAAAATAACAGCTTGCAATTGCGAAAAAAAGAGATAAAAAAATTATACTATGCATTTTATTAAAATCTAAAAAAAATAAAATTATATTAGAAAAATATTTAAAATAAATATAAATTCTTATTAAAAAATAACATATTGCAATTGAGAAAAAAAGAGAAAAAAATTACACTGTGCATTTTATTAAAATTAAAAAAAATATTTTCTACATGAAAAAAAATTAAAACAAATATAAATTTTTATTAAAAAATAATAGGTTGCTATTGCAAAAAAAAAAAAAGAGGAAAAAAAATTACACTGTGCATTTCATTAATAATGCTAAAAAATATGCCAAGTATTTGTGTAAAGACTTGATATGTGTCCACTCTCAAATTATCAAGTGAATACAAATGAAACCAAAGAACTCAACTTTAATCGCTAACAAATATTAGAAACCCGACCATATAAGCCTAATAACTATTAAATAAAAGAATTCAACTATAATAATCCGAAAATTTAAGTTGTCTCTTAAATTTTATACTAGTATTATGATTGTATGTGATAATATATTATTAAAAATAAATAATGAAATAATAAAAATAATAAAAAAATAATGTAAATATATAAAATAACATATCCAATTTCATAGCTATATGTGCTAAATATAATCTACTTTGGCATGGGGTTTTCAAATATGTGATTAATATATTAGTTGGGGCCAAAGTAATCCAACTATGAAATTATGAGAATAGTTGGGCCAAATGATAATATAGTGAAAGGTGTGTAAATGAGTTGGACCATGGACGATAGGCCACCTGTTACGTCTACGGAATAGATGATGTGAATCATCAACTAGGGCGTTTGATTATGGGGGTGAGTCATCACTAAGCCACGAAATGAAAGGAAAAAAAAAAAAAAAACACATAGGAGAGGCTGTGAGGAAGGGGTGTCGAAAAGCTAGAGTAAATAGGAGGAAAATAGTAACTATTAATATTAAGGTGAGTTATATTATATCTTGAGTCACTATAATATATTTTACGTATGTTTTGACTTATCATAATTTATTTTAAATAAATTATGTTTTATAAATTATATTAATATTTCAATTATATGGGTTATTTTTTAAATTCTATTTGTTTAAAATGAAACCCATGAATATGTTTGTTTAAATTTTAGTATATATTTGACTATGACCTTCTAAACAATTATGCTTTATAAGTACCACCACGGGAGTCTCATGCCTTGAGAGACTTAAATAAACCAGTGACTTCTAATTGGTTACTTTGTGACCCTCTGTTGTCATGGATCTATTGGCCTCTGTTCTATGCGGAGATAAGTGCTACACTATTGTGAGAGCCACCTCTTGAATCCGTACCGCTGTTCTGACTGTCACTCCTATGACCTTTGTTCTGTTCTGTTTGGTACCGTGGTTATGGTTATTTATTTACATAATCTCAGTTTTGCTACCTAAATGATTATTTGTTCAGATTAAGTTATTTTAAATATTTTAGTTACATAACTATCCATGGTTAGTTTGTGTCTCTTATACTCTTGACATAATATTTCTCACTATGTCTTGTACTCATAGTTGTTTATCAATTTTCAGGAAACAATGCAATTCAGAAATAGTTTTTGGAAAGTTTTAGACGTGGGGCTACGGAATAGACACACACAGCACTTTTATGATATTTTTATATGTAAATATCAACATTTTTTGTCAATAAATTTGGTAATAAAAATAGAAGTTCCAATGATTATTTTGGTACCCTCACTTAAATATTTTTCCACTCTCGTATATTAATTTGTTCAAGAATTGGCCGAAGGTAACTTTAGTTACTGGCCATCACGATGCTTAACCTTTGGGTACGGGGAGCGGGTCGTGACATCAACAATTGAAAGGTCTCAAACTACATCTCTTTGTCTTCTCAAATGTTCCCCTTTTTTTGTTTCATACATTCATTCTAATATTGATAGAAAATTGGATGTGTGGAATAGTGAGAGACATTAAAAATATATATTGAGTTATGTAATTGTTGGGATGAAAAATAAAGGTTGTCTTCTTCTTCTATGGCGATTTATCTAGTTATACCTCCAATTAAAACGTCAGGTGTACTTCTACATCATCATTAAACGTTACTTTTATTTTTTTTAGATATATATCTTTTGTCTTACAATTGTTTGTGTTTTGTATTATGAAATTTATTATATCTGCATTCGCTAAAGCTATTAGATGGACCTAATGCAAGAAATGCAAACTATTGCAATGTCATTCTCGGGATTAGAAATACGAAAAATATACTCAAAAAGTATATGACTAGACAACGCACCGTATGTCAATGAAATTAAGAAATGGGGATGTTGTTGTCCAAGTCACAACAGCTTGCTGTGAGTTTGGTGGATGTCCATTCTGAATTTTTTTTTTATGATCTAAACGGTTTATATTATAAAATTTGTTAAGTAAATAATTCATATAAAAAATCAAATTGATTAAAAATCTAAATCCCTATAATAAGAGAATATTTGTTTTTTAAAAAATAAACGGATAATATTACTTTTATAATTTTTTAAAAACAATTAGGACCCAATCATGACCTACGGATATTTGATTAATTTGAATTTTTACATAAATGACATTTTTGACAAGCT